CCGAGACCTATTGTCTCAAAAAAAAAATTCAACCGAGACCTCTGAATCTCCTTTGCCTGTTGAAATCGGTTGCAGCGAGAGCCGAGAGACGCTGTGTCGTCGTCTATATAGCCTCCCTCGCCTCGCCTCGCCTCGCCTCGCCATCCTCCCCTCTCCCATCCTTTCTTGTAGCCAACATCCCTCCACGCCCGAGTTCTTGCGACCTCTGAATCTCCTTCATCTAAGGCCCCGCTTGGAATGTCTGTGAAATTTTACAACTGTAAACGATTACCCCCGGATATTACTGTACGCCAGTAAAATACAAACGGATATATTATCCCGGTAATCCGCTGCCGCCGGCTCAGCCAAAGAACGAGGGCAGCCCTGCACGTCCAAGACCGATGCTGCACAATCCGCACTGGCACATCGACTGGGGAAAAGCCCTGCGTAATGGTCGCTGGAATCTAGTTCGGCTGTCTCTGGACGACGAAGTCGCCAAATCTACTGTCGTCTGCCACACACCACAGACGAGGCAAATCCGGCGGCCATGACCGACCATGGTGGCCGTCTGAGATCCGCCGTTTGAGATGCGTCAAGGCAGTGGTCCCATGATGCGAGTCAGCTTCAACCATGACTGACCATGGCGGCCGTTTCGCGCAGCTGGAGTAGCTCTCTGCCTGGCCAGGACCTCGGGTCGCCTGCTCGTCGTCGTCTGAACCCGCCGGCCGACACGAACTATCCGTGTGGCGGCGCCCAAACAGGGAACCTGCTAGGCAGCTCCTCGCCGGGCCGGCGGTCCTCAGCCCGTCCCCTGTTGCTCCGGCCTTCCGACGTAAAGCAGCTGTCAATCGAAAAGAGAGAGATACGGAGCAGAAACGACGGATCGAGGTGTGTCTCAGAAACCGGCGAAATACCGTTGTAACTTGGAAATAGGGTGTAAAGTTTACAGCCCAGAAACGACGATCCAAGTACCTAATAGAAGACCACCCCGGTTTTTTATACGGAGGTATGTTTTCCGGGTGTAAGTCGCTGGAAAACGATGATCCAAGCGGGGCCTAAGCGTTCTTGCGACGACACTTCGACCGAGGCGAGATGGACGGCAAGCGGAAGGCCACCCTCGCCTCGCCATCCAGAAAAAAAATGAGGGGTTCTGAAAAAGAAAATGATAAAACTGGATAGCATCGGCCTTTTTTTTTAGACAAAGATAGGATAGCATCGGCCTGGCCTCCGTCTGTCGATGATTTGGGCCGTTGGTTGGGCTATCAGAATTGCATTAGGCCCGTTTCAGAGGCTCTTCCTTCCTCCCGCCCGTGTTGTTCCCTCCAAAACCAACCGACGACCAACCGCAGAAGGAATCTCTCTGCTTCTTGAAATCGATCGGTTGCAGCGGGACGAGAGACGCTCTCCTCTGCCGTCGTCGTCTATATAGCTTCCCTCGCCTCGCCTCGCCTCGCCATCCTCCCCTCTCCCATCCTTTCTTGTAGCCTCCTTCCCTCCACGCCCGAGTTCTTGCGACCTCTGAATCTCCTTCATCTGGGCGTTCTTGCGACGACACTTCGACCGAGGCGAGATGGACGACCGCAAGCGGAAGGCCGCCGACGACGACATCCCCGGGACAGGGCAGCCGCGTCAGCGTGCACGGACGGAGACTACAGCCGTCGACGACACTTCGCAGGCGCCTGCAGGATCGACGGCTACTGCAGCCGGCAGTTTGCAGCCGCTTCCAGGCCCCACCGGCACCCCTATCCAGTTCCTTAGAGGAGGCGGCCGCGGCGGCGGGTCGGGGCTCGGGGGATTCTCTCAGTCGGCACCGATGACGATGCTCCAGCAGCCGCTGCGCAATCAAGGTGCGTTCCGTCCCAAGAAAAGCGCAAAATGCTTTCTCTATGGTCCGTGTGGTTTCTTGGTTCGTCATTGACGTCGGAGTTGGGTTTCTTGGTTTCTTCGCTCCGCCGCTGCAGCACGGGTGTCGTCGGCGACTGTCGCCGCTGTAGGCCCCCTCGACGCCTGGCACGGGGGATTCGCTCCGCCGCTGGGCAATCCAGGTGGGTTCCCTCTCAAGTTCCTTGTCTCTGGTCCGTGCGGTTTCTTGGTTAGTTAACGTCGGAGTTCGATTTCTTGGTTTTTTTCGAGGTTGATGCCCGCTTCTTGGTTTCTTGCAGCTCTCGGTCGCGGCGGCGGGTCGGGGTCGGGGCTCGGGGGATTCTATCCGCCGCATGGGAGAGCGCTGCCGACGCCGACAATCTTCGCCAATCATGTTCCAGGTGGGATTCTTTCTCTCTGGTTCGTGCGATTCTTGGTTCGTTGACGTCTGACATTGATTTCTTGGTTTCTATTTCACTGTGTAATTCTTTTGTAGCCTACACCGGGGAGCCTTCCACGCGCCACGCGCCGGCAGCCTATGCGAACCGGCGAGCTCCGTCTCTTCCAGCTCTCGGTCACGGGCGCGGGGGCAATCTTGTTACAGGTGTGTTCCTTCCTTCCCAACCCAAGAAAATCGCAAATTCTTTCTCTCTGGTCCGTGCGGTTCTTGGTTCTTCACTCACGCCGGAGTTGGATTTCTTGCTTTTATTTGGTTTCTTAGTAACTAGCCTGAGAAACAACAGCCGGCGCAGATTACTGGCAAGGCGGCAGCCCGGCAACGCCAGTGCGCCTCAGGCTCAGGGCATTCCCATTCCCAGCAACGCCGGTGCGCCTCAGGGTCAGCAGCAGTACCGGGATTCGGTGGCGGAGCTGCTGGCGGCGACCGAGCCTTCTCCTCCGGCGGGTTCTCAGCGTGCCGCCTATTCGAGGTGCGAGGCTTGCCGCCTCTCCGGCGATAAGGCGTGCATGTTTTGCCACAACCCCGGCCCACCGCCGCCGCCGGCAGGGCAGAGCTAGCTCATCTCACCGCTGTGAGGTGGAGAACGTCTTCTGAAGTCTGAACTCTGGGAGCAGACAGCTTAACTGCTGAACCTTTTCTGCTTTGCTCTCGTCTTGAAAGAACAGAAGAGAATGATTCCTGTGACATGGCCAAATTAAATGTGGCAATGCATGCATACATACTTGAGTAGATCCATGAAACTATGTACTTGTTTCCTTGTCTGTGATCTGACATTAGTAGATGAAACTATATATACTTGCTGTGGATGTCATTCAGTGTGCAGTTCTTTTCCGACTCTTCAGTTTTGCCTCAAGTTTTTGCTTTGGATGTCATTGAGGATGTTTCCTTTTTTATCTTGCACAGTCTGATTCGTTAGGGATCATTGAGGATGTCATCTGGGCGTTCATGCCCAAGGTTTTGATGTCAGCGTTAATCGTTAACTTTTGGTTTTGCCTCAATTTTTCGACTGATTGTTGTAATTGCTAGTAATATGCTTGTGCTTTGGCGTGGAGATACTACATATAACAGATTCAGTGCTGCATATGCTTGTCGTCAGCAAGTGATTTGGCGTGGAGATGGGATGTGGATGCTTTGGATGTTTGACTGGTTTAATCTCAGTTAAACCGAATGAGCGCTCAAAATTTCATGTTTCAGTACACACCTGATTCTCTGAACTTCCTGCCTCTGAACACACCTGAAGAATTTGACACCTTCTCTGAAGAATTCGACAGCTACCAGGGAGGCGGACGGCTAGGATGCGCTCCACTTGTGAAAGATCAACGCCCCTCAAAGACCAAGGGCTCCCCTGTTCAGTGTCCGACAACGGCTACAGTTGACTGAAGTTTAAAAAAAAACACAGTTAACTGAAGTTTAACTGAAGTCCACTGAGTGTAATTTCAGTTCCTCCTACTTCCGCCATTCGTGGATTGGGTTATCATCTTCTTCTCCAAGTATTATTATCTGTCGCTAGTGCTAGAACTAGACTACTTGGTAGATCAGATCGATCGCTATGAACTAGACCAATTGAGAAAATTCAAAAAAAAAAAAGACTAATTGGTGGATTGGGTTATCATTTATCATCTTCTTCTCCAAGTACTATTCGGTGACTTTAATCTGTTTCTGCAATACATCTTCCCTCCTTCGATACCAACAGCATTTAGTTCGTGGGTTCTGACGCTATATATCTCGAGTTTGGAGATATAACATCATCTGATTTCCATAAAGTGCAGCCCTGTTATACTTTTATGCAAAATACCTGAAGTGTAGCGAATAATATAATGTGCTAGCGATCCTACAGTGGCCGCCTGCCTGCAAGAGAATAGGCTGATTCACTACGAAGTTTATTTACATCTGACTGAATGTAATATTCTCTTTTTTCCTGGCGCTGTAGTGTTACCTCATGTGTCTGACTGATTCAGTTTCAGTTAAAAGCAAATGAGTGCTCAAAATTTTCCAAAATCTTCTCGATTTCTAAACCTGGCCGGGAGTTCGGCGAGAGGGGAGCAGAGAGGGGGGTTTGATCCCTATTAGCTGTGACTTTTAAGGTGCTTTCAGCGTCATGTTCGAAGATAGATGTTGCCTGTTGGCAGTTTTCGGCTCTGAATTTCGAATGCAACTTTGAATTTATTTATTTTTTTGAATACTTTGGATTGCTTACCACATCTGTCATGTGGTAATGCAACTTTGAATTACTAGTATGATCTGTTCCCGTAATGAAGCCATTGAAATGGATGCTAATCTGGCACAAGTTTTGACACCTCGATTCTCAAGTTCACTTCTTCAGTAGAGGCGCTCTACGGACAGTATAAAATGCCTAACATGCTAATTCAAATACTCTTCGATGCAAAATAAAAACGTCGACGGCAAAGCACAGCCAAAACATTACATTTGGCGGACTTGTACAATATATCTTGGATATACATTCGTTAACTTTGGTTATTTTTCTGGTACTTTCGGTTATGCTTTGGCCAATACATACTACTGAATTTCCATCCAGACTACAACTTTCTCCAACCTCCCTGTAAAGAAGACAAGAGTAGCCACAAGCCTGACGCGAAGGCATGGAGCCCTCTTGTGCTTAATTTTGTGTGACACAACCTTGTTTCTCATTGGAAAATTGAAGTTTCCACACCTCGCTTCGGTTCGGTTTCAGTAACACTCAAATGGACAGGCCACCATCAACTGGGAGCACCTGCACTTGCAGAATTAAACAAGTCAAGTCTTCAAGTACACTAACAGATAACTAACAGATAACACTCAAATGGGCCGTCCATATGAAGGACATATCTGAAAACCATTTCTACTTGCCTGCCCGGTCATGTAGCTTGCAGCCGGATGAACAGCCAAGAACTCCACCAGTCCAGCGATCTCCTCTGGCTTGCCGAATCGTCCTGAAGTTTCCATCAGCAACAAAAGGCAGTAAAACCAAAGCGAAAACTCCATGTTTCAGCTTTGGTGCCATTGCAAGAGTCCATCTTCTGTTCTGATTCATATGGAATTTAGTCAATGCAGATGGTTACTACCACTACTACTTACCTAATGGTATTGTCTCGAGCGCCTTTCGCTCGATGTCATCGCCTAGTTTTGCGGTCATGTCAGACGCGACCCAGCCCGGGGAAACTGCATTCACCTGCAAAACCAACCAGGCAAAATGTCAGACAAGCTTAATGTTCAAATGAGGAGCAGCACTTTAATCAATATGTGCTTATTCTAGGTTGGCATGGCTGCTACTTGCATTTATGTTTCTGCCACCGTACTCCCGGGCCATGGCCTTGGTCAATCCAATCACCCCGGCCTTGGCGGCGCAGTAGTTGGCCTGGCCAATGTTGCCAATCATCCCGGCAACTGAGGCGATGTTGATGATCCTTCCCTGTGGGCAATTAACCAGTGAAAAAACTGTACTAACAAATTATGTCTCTGATCATATAACAAAGACGCTTCTAAGAATAGAAACGGCACATAGTCAACTAATACTCCGTACCTTCTTCCTCTTCATCATCACTGCCGCCGCAGCCTGTAACAGAGATCTTTAAATAATAGGCAAGCACAATGCATATTTAATGCCGATTACGGAGGCCAAGTGAACAGCACGTCTCACCTGGGCACAGAGGTAAACACCGGTAAGGTTTACGTCCACTACTTCCTGCCATTGTGCCCGCTTCATCCGCATTAGCAGAGCATCTCGCGTGATCCCTGCCCACCAAGAAATGGCCCCCCAGACATCAAAACCCACTGTCAAGGCGATACAAATGCCAACTTATATACTCGCTCCGTCCGGAAAAGCTTGTCCCTCAAATGGATGTATCTAGCACCAAGTTAGTGCTAGATACATCCATTTGACGGACAAGCTTGGGACAAGCTTTTTCGGACGGAGGGAGTAGTCAGCTGTGCAGGGGAAGGCAGACAGAGATGAAAACAAGGGAGAACCTGCATTGTTCACCAGGACGTCCAGCGTTCCCCAAGTATCAATTGCCTGAGCCAACATCCAAATCATGTATAAAGTATGCACTCACTCGGAGAATTGTCTGTTATTGTTCTGCCTAGAGTAATTAACTGATGTCAACTCACCGCTCTCATCATGGTTTCAACCTCAGCTTCAATGGAGACATCGGCTGAAAAGGTGATGGCAGTGCCACCGGACTCCTCGATCTGAATGGATCATGATGTGTGTTTGTGTGGCACAAGGAAGACAAGCATGGCATGAAAAGAATTCTATGAGGTACAATGCACTTGTATGCGAGCAACTGTATCATATATAGGCTAGAAGGCTAGAAGGAGCGATTTTACTCACCTCTCTGCGCACTTCTTCAGCTTCCATGCCTGACTTGGCATAGTTCACAATTACCTTAAACAAACAAAAGATGATGTTCAGTGCAGTTCCAATGAAACCACAGCTCAACTAGCCTTACAATTATACAATTTCCATGCTTCTTTGAAGGAATAGTACTTTACTCTTTTTTTCATTTGATTGCTCATACTTATAAGTATTTACCTTGCACCCTGCTTTGCCAAGAGCTACAGCTATGGCTCGCCCAATCCCCCTCGATGCTCCGGTAACCACTGCAACCTGAGCTTGAGGCTGTGCCAAGCCATCCATGCTCACTCCAGCCATAGCTTTAACCTGACCATGCCTTATAGCTACAGAAAGACAATTCCTTCCGTCAGAAAGACCACCTAATTAAGAAGGATACCGACACAGAGTCTACCACTCAGATATGATTTGGTCAATTGCCTGATAAAATGAGAGTGCCCGGTCGCTGATATCGCTGGAACCTGCAGCTGTGGCGTTGCGGCGGCGGAGACCCAAGGGAAACGAGGCCAGCGGAGAACGGCATGGCTGATGCCATGGAAGAGGAGTTGCAAAGCTCTGTGAACTGCCGGTCATGCAAAAATAAAATGGTGCTGTCTACGGAATTCAGAAGTAATTACGAGCACAGAGTGGCAACAGAAAGAGGGATGGCTCCATCTTCAGCGGAGGTTATCTTTGCATGATCACTGAAAATGTATCTACCTTGGGATCAAATTGGTTATTGGGCAGTCAAATTTGTGGCAATAGCAAACTACAGGCAAGGTTGGTGTGATGGCCATGCACATAGCGCCGGATAGGGCGTTCCGCCTGGGAAGTTGACTCTGGGTACTGTGCGAAAACATGAACTGCATGTTTACACGGTATACATATTCCGGATAGTGAAAAAAAAAAGAACTGCATCTTGCTCAGATGCTAACATGGTAGATGATTTTTGCAGAATATAAGAACTCAAAGCATGGGCATGCACCTTTGGAAGGTTAACTTACATTTGCTTACAGCTAAAAGAAATGTTAGATACTTCCGGAATGGAGAATACCAGGCTAAGAAGCAGGGCCAAAATATTATTTGTTCGATAAACTGGACAACTTTACAACATGTATTGCTGCATATGTAACTTTATTTCCCAACTAGCAAAGCTGAATTCAGCTTATGCGATTCAGAAATCCAGGTTCCGCATTCAGGCACGTGAAAAACACACGGTTACACTATGATTTAGTGTATAGTTAGAGAGAATAAATAACAATACCTTGTGCAGATAAAGAAATTGCAACTATCTTGTTATTATTCTGCCTAGACCTGCTTAGGGCCAGTTTGGTTTGGGGGTATTTCCCAAAGAAGTTTTGTTAAAAAAAGAACATGATAGATGATTTTTGCAGAAGAATATAATAACTCAAAGCATGGGATGCACATTTGGAAGGTTAGATTACATGAAGCAGGGCCGAAATCATATTTGCTCGATAAACAGAACAATCTTTACAACATGTTTTGCTTCATTATATGTAACTTTATCTCCCAACTAGCAATGAGGAATTCAGTTTATGCAGTTGAGAAATTCAGGATCCACATTCAGGCACATGAAAAACACACAATCACACTATGATTCAATCGTTTACTGTACAATTAGAGAGAATAAATAATAGTACCTTGTGCACATAAAGAAATGGTAAATATCTTGTTATTATCCTTTTTCTTTATTATCCTGTCTAAACCTGCTTAGGGCCAGTTTGGTTTCAGGGTATTTCTCAAAGGAGTTTTCTTTAAAAAAAAGATAATATAAGGTAAGTTTTGTTTGATCAAAATAGTTAAATGACCGATCAAAGTTTGCACCATAAAAATTTCAAACTAGCTTTACTTTTATGTATATTTGAAGAAATTTCAGTAGGATTTTCAAAGTCTGCCATCGATTAGGTTTGAGCTAGAGTGTATACTGTTGCAAACACCTCTATAAGGCAGTGCTCGAATGTTACCTTCATGAAATCGTGGACAACATGTTGGCGTCCTCGAAAATAGATGCTGATGTGCTTGATGAGCGTCTACAATTCAGTGCATCATCTACTGTCTCTTTGCTGTAATAATTTTGGTAAATTTTAACTACATAAAAAATCTCCCAGTAAAATTATCCATTACCCAAACAACTGCAGGATTATTTTTTTTGGGTCTGAAAACCTGGACTTGCAAGAGAAACATCCACAGTTCCACACAGACCAATGCTGATACTACTTGCAGAATTTTTGCTGGGTTCGCTCTTGCTACCTTTTCACAAGGGAGTAGTAGCTATATGCATTCGGTTGCTACTGCATTCAGTCAATTAGACAGTTTTTCAGTGTTCACCAATTATAAGTTTTTATAGCGTGTATGTTCAGAGAAGCGTTGAGAAAGACAGGATCTTATGGATTGACTTGTTAATTAATTGCCTCTCTGCAACCCAAATTTCACAACAGTTAGAGTAGCCTCCAGCACACATTAAGGCCCAAACAGGGTAAAATAAAGCGCTATCTTTGGAGAACTAATTAAGAATCTGGCCTACATAAAACTAAGGATAGAATGATAGATAGGTTGCAGCTACTACTGGAAGACCAATGCTGATACTGTTTAACGTCAAGCAGCCGCAACCAGGGACTGGAAGAGAGGCACGTACTGTCCATTGGCGTCGTAGGAGTGGGAGTGATGCCAGACACTGACGATCTCGACGGGGACGACACTGGTGGGGCCATCATCGTCACTGTAGTCAATCCGGAGCTCGTGGGGGATCTCTCGAGGGTGCTCCAGCTCAAGGACGACGCGGACGGTGGCTAGGTCCGGCGCCGCGAAGCAGGCCGGGTCGATCTCGCGCACGTACCCGAATCTGCAGCAATTCCACCTGATCCCCTCCTCTGTGCGCTGCTCAACGGGGTAATCGCGCAGGGCGGCGTGGACGAGGTAGTCGGACGACACCCAGATGGTGTCGGGGGTCTCCCCGTCGCGCAGGAGCTTCACGGTGACGCCGTCGAGCACGAACGGCTGCCGCAGCAGGGCCGCCTCCCGGAAGTCGGGCGTGCGGAAGCGCACAGCCATGTCGGCGCCGTGCTCGGGAGGGAGGAGCTCGAAGTTCTGCGGCAGGTCGAGGGCGAGGGTGCGGAAGACGCGGCGGATGAAGGGCCCCTGGTCGGCGCGGCACGGGGCCTCCGGTGGGGTGATGTAGGCGTACGCGAGGCGCCGCCAGTAGTGCTCCAGCTCGGGGTCGAGGACGAAATTGACGTACACACTGATTGTGGCCGGGGGTCCCGTGACCGTGAGCGTCTCCCGGGGGAGGAACACCGCCGTAGCGGCCGGAGGGCCCCCGCCGTAGGACAGGCTCGTTAAGAAGGCCGGGCGGTCGGAGGGGATCTCCAATGCCGTCGTCCCCTCCGGCATGGTGCGGTCGGCGCCGGCCGCCAGCATCAGTGGTGGAGTGGAAGTGCGCTGGGGTATGGCGTGGTTGGGCCACAGGACTGTAGATTCTCAGGACTCAGGAGTGGGCCGGGCTCGCGTGCAGCTCGTTCGCCTCTCTCCATTTCATGCTTCACTTCCTATTTGGATTGACCCCTAAAAAAACTTCCTTTTTCGATTGACCCCTAAAAAAACTTCCTTTTTGGATTGTCTCAAAGAAAAAGTTTAGATTTTCGTTATCTTTATGCTTATAGAAGGCATGTGTGGTCCTTCAACAACATGACATTGTAACGATTTCGTTGAACTTGTTTAAATAAAGAAGGGAAACACTTTGGTTCAGGCGGGTGACAAATCGCTAGCATCTGTCGCCTCCATGACTTGCCACGCGTCCCGTGGGCCTCATGTAGCACGTCACCCATTTCCAGAGAAATCCCGAGCATCCCATCCTTCACGAATCCACCTATCCTCTCTTTCCCTTGTCGTCTCTCCCAGCCGTCAATGTGAGCACCCCGCCATGCCGCCACAAGCATTACTGCAGCAAATTCCTATTTGGATTTACCTAAAAAAACTTCCTATTTGGATAAGATCGCTTCAAAGGTTCTGTCAAATTGTGTGAAGCAAATTCTCTCGGGTATAATATCATCCAACGACATGGGCTTGGCCCGTGCGTTTGTTCTGGCTATCTCAGCCCAGCCCAAGTGGCTTGTAACGATATACTACTAAGCCTGTGTGTGTAGCGTGCGTGTACAGCAACGAATGACAATTCTAAACACAATTCTCCTCCAAAGCTTCTCTTTCTGCCTCTCTCGATGCGGCGGTGGCAGAGATGAGGCGGCCGTTGGACGAAGTGGTGCACCGCGTCAACAACATAGAGGTGCCGCACCACACCACACTCTTGCAGTCGCTTCCCTCGCGCGTAGGACCACCTCGGCCGGAACGACACGACGCTGCACAACAGCCACAGGATATTGATCTCCGAGGACCACGTTCCTCAAATCATACTTCCAGTCTCTTGAGGAACTCTCCGACGACAATGATGAGTTTGATCAGTCCCTAGTTTCCCACCTTCAGCATACTACCAGTCGTTTTTTTGCTCGAATTCCATCGTTTGATTTTCCTAAATTCGAAGGGGATAATGCAAAGTGGTGGAAAAAAACAGTTGCGAGAAGTATTTTCACATGTACAATGTTCAGGCAGATCTTTGGGTCAGTTTCACGAATGTGCACTTTGCAGGCAATGCTGCACGCTGGTTACAGACTTGCGAAGCAATGCATGGCATTGACAATTGTGCAACTTTGTGTGTAGTTGTCTTTCCAAAGTTTAACAGGAACAAATACTCTAGGTTATAGATGTGTTTTTCTCTTTGAAACAAACTGAGTTAGTAGATGCTTATGCTCATACTTTTCAGGAACACGTGCATAGAATGCTAGTATACAATCATTCATATGATGAAACTTTCTTTATCGATCGGTTCATAGAATGCTAGTATATTATCATTCATATGCCACATACTATATGCAGTGCTCATGTGCCCAAAGGGGTTGAATTCATTTGTTGCAAAACTAACTTCAAGTTACAGGGATCTACAACGAACTCAGGATGGTCTTTGTAAAAGGACTTCCATACCATGCCATCTGTAGGGTGCCTAATAACATTTTCCTCAACCAACCCTCTTCTCTTTGTGCCACATGGTGTGCTCTGATATGAAAAAATCTTTGTAAAAGTGTAATTATGGGAAAGTATGAAAGGACCTTGCAAGGAATCTTTTTCTTTCCATTCCCATCTTCATGTTTCCACCTTGATAATCCACACACAGGACAATTCTTCTTCTTGGCATGGTCTTCCAATTACAAAGTCGAGTCATACTTGCATACATGATTGTCTCATAATCAAGACCAACATCAGAAAGAGCTTTCTTAGCATCAATTTAAGATTTAGGAAAGTCCACTTTAGGGGAAGCCGTTTTTAAGAACTTAAACAACACATCAAATGCTCTATTGGTCATATGGGTATATGTTTTGATATGAATGACCCTCATAATGAATACCAGCCACGTCATACTATTGCTCCCCGGGTGACGTTACCGCTTTGCTTCTTGCATGAACTTTTTAAACAAATCAAATCTACCAG